CCGGTTCATGCCTCTTTCATAAGTACTGTTAAGTACTGAAACGAATTTGCATGCGTAAATTGCACAGCTACCGCCTTATAGAAGACGTTAGAATGCCGAAATGAGGCGATCGTTAAAACGGTCTAAATACCCCTTTGTAGCGATGGACAAACGAAATAAATTGCCGAAAGCAAATGCCAAGGGTATTCGAGGTAACTGCTCGTAACGTTAACATATTTGTTTATGTGTGACATCTTGTCCAGCTCCTTTTAATTCGTTTCCGGAAGCCATTAGCTGGCAAAGAAAACAATTCGACAACAGATCAATATGAGTCTGCGATTAGATCGAAAATTTAAATTTCCCTCAAATCCGCACATCATCACCTTACGCAGCATCAACCAAGCTCGCTCTTCGCTAAAGCCCATGTTGTGCGCGCCGCACTAGCGAAAACGCCGAACCCTATTGTTATAGGATCACTAATTGCGAAATGAATACCGAATGCTAATCTCTTTAAAGTGCTTATTATTGTAACTGAGCTTCAAGCCAGTTCCCCTTCGTTTCCTCATGTCCTGCTGCCATTGTCGCATGAGTCAGATCGTTCTCCTTCGTTCATGGTTATTGTACTTCGTGCATAGCTGAAAAAGTACCTTGGATCAGAATAAGCAAAGTCGCTGAAAGTGAAAGTTTAAAGCAAGTCTTGAAGAGGTGTTCAACCAGCAATACGTCGAAAGCGTTGTTGTTGATGACGATAATATGTAACATGAGAAATTTCAACGTGACCAATAATCCGAAAGCTGTCAGACCATTGGAAATGCCACTGCCCACACGTGAGTACCCGTAGAACGTCCTACAGCAGCTTTTGTACTGTCGATTACAGGAACGTTGCAGAATTTGAATACTAATTAAGACTTTATTACACAACATTACCGAAACTGTGGTTGAGGTAGCCTTAAGTCTTATGCTGACATTTGCCAGAAACAGTTAGTTTGTCTTTCAGTGACCGCGAAATCGCTTCCGTGATACGACAAGCCCTCTCCTCCCACGTGTATCGCCTCCGCAAGTATGCTTCATTAGCCACAGTCTGTTGGACAGATGCTGGATGAATGCCTTTTTAGTATTCCTCCATGGGAATTTTGTTTTCCTCTTGAGGATACAAAAAAGTTTTTGCTATGATATGCATGAAGACCCGTGGCGAACTTCAAACGACAAGCTATCTGCCACTATGGCAATTCAAAAATAATACATCTGCTAATTCTGCAAGAAATTTATGCATAAGAGAAGGATAACTTGTCCGGAAAATCTAAACAAAGACACCAACGATTAGCACTTGTTTTTATTCCTGCCGAACGCATGATGAAGTTTTCTAAACGTGCCGTTTACTCTGTGAATTGTCTTGCCATTTTCATTCACTGAATGCTTAGACAGACTAACGGTTAGCGGGTATTATTAAGTTATGCTAGGAAAGGGCTGTTTATCCGGTATCCTTAAAGGATTTTTATAAAACTGTTTGGAGCGTTTGGTGTTAGCTCTACAGATTGAAAAGGATTTCCTCGAACACCATTGCTACTGCATAGCAGAATGTACCTTTCGTCACAAAAAGTTTAAGAGCATTGCTGTATTCGTCGAAGCACAAGAAGTTTAAGTGGTTGCGGTGGGCAGGACTTGCTGCAAGAATAGCCAGTCATTGCTGGACGACAGAGACACGTTGTGTTTCAAGAGGGAGTAAACGACCAGTTAGAAAACGTTCAGATCGATGGCAGATAGAAATCTGTTGGATCAGGGTGGATATGAATCGCAGAGAGCATAAATAGTTAATGGCAAATTTAAAGAGGTCTTCATTTAGCAGTGGTTCGAAAATGGCTAATGATGATGTTTTTGCCTAAAGCTTGCAGAAGGCGTAAAATAATTTTGCGGAAACTGTTTATTCATGGATTTCGGTTTGTTCCTTTTTAAGTCGTAGTATCAACGATTAGGCTAGTTAAAGTGCGTCCACTGAAAAACATGTGTCATGGACATCACACAGGTTATTAAGTTTTCAGACGAGTTCGTTGCAGGTATTCTACAAGCCATGCAGTACTTTTCATTGCATGATCCATTGTACGGTGATATTTTCAAGTGAGTCAACTGGTTCACGTCAGCAGCTCGAGTTTGTTTTAAAATGAACTTTCTTGCACCTTCGGATTTCAGCGTCGAGTCTTCAATTCGAAACCAGTTAGTTAGCCTTTGGCGTAACCGCTCTTTCTCATGCGGAGGCAAATGAGTTCAGAAGATCATCAATTCGATTTCTTAATCCTCCTCATCTTCTACACCTGCGATGTTCAGTCCGTGGCCATGAACATTCAATCCGTCGTCAAAAGTGCTATCACTTTGTGCACGGTGTAACAATCGACAGGCCGGCAGATGCCGCGTGCAGTGCTTTGTGCGACTGTCATCAAAGTTCGGATCGTGGAATTGTCCGGACATGTGTGCACTTGGATCCACAGCCAAGGAAACTACATGGAGGCTTAAGGCACTGAGGATTAAAACGTCGACAGACTCGCAAGTCCGGCCGTCTGTTAAGAGAAAGACCGCTCGTGATGTTTTACTGCACCATTGTCTGCACCTGGTTACACACGCTACAGGAACGTTGGGCGCTTTGCTTACATACAGAACAGCGTTGTGCTTGTGAAATTGGTTCAGCTGCTTTGCTGCGTCGGGAAGCCACCTCCGTGATTTCAGGTGCTTTGTAGCGCCAATGTGTGCAATTATCAAATCTCTGTCCGCTGTTCGCCGCTTTCCTTGACTCTTCCGTTTTCTTGATGAACATCCTGCCGATATCCAACGTGACTTTAGTAGCATTCGCTAACAGCTCGCCGCTTACGGTGCAGCACATGAGGTCTCCCTCATGCACGAGTGCGCTCCTCAGTTCTTTTCGTGAGGTACTCATCCGGCCGTCGAATAGCGCAGCTGTTTTGAGCTTAGAAATACGCGGTCTTGTATAATTTCTAATTGGTACTCTTCGTGCGGTAGGAGACTGAAATTTCGTGCGAAACAAAATTCTTCAGTCTTCTTTTCGGCCTACAATTCCGCAGATGGAAAACAGTTAAATTTTATGGCTGGAAGATCTGTCATAATCATCAATATTTTTCTCATCTACTATTGAATGAAGACCTCTCCAAGACTTTGTCATAAACTTTTGTTTACTGCGATTCTTATCGATGTTGCTCAAACAAACTTCTTCAGCACATCATGCCGTCAATCTGAAGTCACCTCACAGTTCGCTTACTGTCACTTGGACTCAATCAGTCCTATGCAAATGAAGTAAAACATTAGGCAAGTGCAAATCTGTGGCTTCACTGATCACTACTGTATGCGGATGCTAAAATGTGAAGCCAGCGCTGCATAAAATTGACCAATCGAAACTGAGAAGTAACGGCCTCCAGATCGAAACTAGTTTTCCGCGCTGCTCAGAATCTATTGCTAAAAATCTATAACCACTCAAAGTTATTTTGTTATGAAGAATTTTTTGTTGTTTCGAAGATGCCCTTCAGAAAATGCGGTTGTTTAATAACCAAACTCCAGTTCAGGCAAACAGCTGATTAAAATATCATTTAAATGATCATTGAGCGTATGATTTTTTTGCGCTGACCGAGACCGGTTTAATTACCGTATTTCTATTAGCCGAAAACACCGTCAAAGGTAGGTATGCACGAAATGATAAACATGGCTTTAAACGCAGCAACCAGTAACGTCGCAAAAAAAAATCTGAAACATTTTTATGTTAAGGTTAAACCTCTTAAATTAAGCAGTTTAATAGTCAGGCGGTGATAGATGTAAGAATCTTAATGTCTAGTATTTGTGTACTGTCTCGGTAAGGCTGTGAGCCATGATTTGTTAAACCAGGCCTATGCTTGAGATCTGTCGAATTGCTAGACGACATATAAAGCAGAAATTTTTACCAACGATGCTCTTTGGGGGGGGCATGGTGCCGATTTCTCATTTGGTCTAAACGCTTTGATACTGTAAACTTTTATCTTTTTGTTCAGATCACATTCCTTCACTTACTCTCGGACAACCTCCATAAAACAGAAACGTCAGGTTCAAGCAATGGTTTCTTCATCACAAGCATATGTAGGAATGGTATATTTTGCTTCACTTCAGGCTCAGTCGTAAACCGTATTTGATCGCTGACGTCGTGCCCATTCATTTAATCTGCTAAACCCTTCAGCTGTGTCAGCATGTCGTCATTGGAATAAAACGAACATGTCATTTATTCCTATACTATTCTTAGTATGCCTTATGGTAATGAATAAGACATTACTTGAATTTGAAGTACCATCACTCACCTGAAGGGATGCATCTGAGGTCTTGCGTCCCACCCGTTCTTTTCAGAAATATCGTGAGGAATACGCATGCACGCACGCAGGAAACATGCAACACCGCTCTGTCCTAGACGTGAAATTCGACATCTTTCTGATGT